GCGACGTCTTGCCACCAGCGTGTCTCTCTCTCTCTCATCTAATTGCGGCGGGGCGGCGTTAGAGAGCCGGCCGAGAAAGCGTCTCTCGCTAAAAGGGGTCGCGGACCATCGGGGGGTCACGGCTTAATTAGCCGCACATTTCCAAAATTGTGCCGTCTCCACCACAGCGATGACGCACAACCGGCACCGCCGATTGGAACGGAGAAACGAAATGGAGTGGAGCGGAACGGAATGCGCGCCGCCTGTGTGGGCTGCACACGAAGGATATTGAGCACGAACACCGAGCATGGATCTTCTTGGTTCTTTCGGTAAAGTCACGTAGAAGGGACGTAATAAAATAATAAAGCATAATAAAATAATTCTCACGACGTTTCGGCCACAACGCAAGCAGCCGCCATTCTTCATCTGAGGACGGCTGCTTGCGTTGTGGCCGAAACGTCGTGAGAATTATTTTATTATGTTTTATTTTTATTATTTTATTACTTCCCTTCTACGTGACTTTACCTGAAAGAACCAAGAAGATGAATCCCTGCAGTCACGAAAGCTTTCAATCGAAACCGAGCATGGATGTTTTACAAGCGTCGCGTAATTCTGCCCCCCTGTTGTTTCTGCAAGGCGGGGGGGGGGTTGGTGGGAGAGCAGTGGCGTGTCAGCGGATGGCACGCCGAGTTCGATTCCCGGCGATTGACATACGAATCTGAATGTCCAGGGTCTTTCCAGTTTAACACGTGGCAGGCTTTCGCGACCAATTTCATCCGTAATACAGTTTTTTTGGGGGGGGTTAGAACGCGTGAACATCATTGGAACCTCATTTGCCAGTAAAAAATATGATAATTGTTTTTTTACCGCTTCTATCTGGCAACAAAACTGACACCTTTTTTACAAAGAGTCATGTTTGCATAAACCACAATACCTTGTCTTTGAGTTGTGCGCCTTTTGGTGTCATCTGGTCCAACCCATGTGAGACTAGGCTCTAAGGAAAGCTGTCTCGGGTGTGCACCAATCAACTTCAAGGACAGTGCATACATTATCAGAGTTATGTTTTTTGTTTGCATTATGACTGCAGGTATTGTGGTCTATGTAAACATGACTCCAGATAGAAGGGTAAAAAACCAATTATCACGCGTGAACATGTACATGTGTCGTTTCTCACAAGTGTTGTCATCACATCTACCCCTCTATTTAAGAGAGCGAAGCAGGAGGATTTCTCCACGAATCTGGCTGTCGCCTGATGAAGTTAGCTGTAATTACTGGCGAAACGTCGTACTCAGATTGTAAATGTTGTGGCTTGGCTCTCCAACACACCGGTGTGTTGTACTCGTGACGAATTGGCACGTTCTGTTTACGTGACAACCCTTACTAGTTGCAAGCCTTGCTAGTGTTGGGTGGTGGCAGGTTTAACGACACATTTATATATTTACGAGATCTAACCCAAACAAAACCTGTATTAAGAGTCTTTCCAGATTATTTGTAACACCCCTCCCCCCGATTTATTTATTTACACTTATATATTTGTTAGTAAGCTTGATATTCAACATAAGTGAATATTCAAATGAAAAACGAAATATTAGGGGTCGATCGATTGTGGGTCACAAGACATCTGGACCACCCTCTACATTTGAGCGTTACTCGCCACGTTGTGGAGAAGGCCTTCATCCAGCAGTGGATTGACAAAGGGCTGTATATTGTTGTTGTTGTTTGTCAGCGACTTCCATCCAGAACCTTCATCGTCTTCGTCCATGGCGCAGGCACAGGCAACAGGTGGAATTTCTGGAAAGAGAGGAAGAGAGAGAGAGTGTGAGGGACGGAGAGAGAGAGAGAGGGAGCGAGAAAGCGAGAATACAAAACTGTGAACTTGATTTAAAAAAATGTCAGCACGTACGTCAGCTTCCCAAAATAGTTTCAACCTTGGGTCCTTTCGCGAAAGAAGTCTTGGAGTAGGCTGGAGAATATTGTTTCTAAATTTAGCCGCACTGTGTGGGAGGACAATATTGTTCTCGTAAAATAAAAAAAACACCCACACACGTGGTTGCAAATTGGAATAATTACACCAATGCAGCACCCGCCGTCGTGAATTTGTGAGTGGAGAAAATGTGTTCATTGGGAAAGAAGCCGCAACTCTGCACTATTTAATTTTACGTCAAACGCGAGGCAGCAAAACAAAGTAAATCGTTTTTAGATTGTATTTGTTATGTGCCCAAAACACACGCACACAGTAGTCTGCACGTTTTTTTTTCCCCCATCATATTTAGCGGGCGCATATATTTCACACGTTATACGTTCAAGATCTATGCGGCATCGCCAAGTAATCATGTGATTTAATTGTAAAGCTCTCCGCAGATGTGTTTAAAAGGCTCGTTATTTCGCGGGACATTATGGAATCGCGAGCATAAATCCGCCGTGCAGCGTTCTCATAAATAAGGTCATATTAACATGTACGCGCCACTGATTTACTCTGCCCCTGCTATAATAGCGACCAATATTCCATCTGTCACAATCGCCTGCCTCTCTGCCGACAATATATACAATATTCGCGCCATGCAAACGCGCCTCTGAACATTTAAAACACTGCTGGTTGTTCACGGTGTGTCCAGAGATATATTTATATCTTTCTCATGCGTACGCCGTGAGTGATGCAGTACAATCTCACGCCAGCCCCCCATTGCTACATGGACCGTGGTAGAAAAGAAAATTAATGTCGGTGCGGCAAACGCATCCGTGTCAGTCGTGGGCGGGTTTTTTTTTTGTTCACCGCAATAATGGGGGTCTCAATTGGGGCGCTGCGACGTCGTGTCCATGGAAACGAAAATTCCCAGTGGCATCCGTGACCCCCCCCCCTCCGTTGTGAATTTAAATTAGCGACGGGGGTTTTAAATTAGCGACGGGATTTCGAAAAATTCCCAACACGGATTCGGCGACGAGGTGTTATTTCTTTTTGTTTTACCACCACCACCACTACTACTACTACACGTGTGTGAGCGGCCCGCCGCCATTCGCGCATACAGGTGGCTGTTGTAACCCCGATGCATTTCCGTTGATGGGTGCTTTATTCCCGAACCAAACCCACATCGCCACGAGGTGCAAGTGGTATGGCCGTCTCTCCCCCCCCGGCTCCTCACCCGCAGCTCCCTCCGTGTTCCGGGAGTCGAGAGGGAATTCCGCGGGCCGTTCGAAAGCGACCGGCTGAATTTTCAATTCTGAATTCTCAACAACAGGATTCACAGCAGTGGGGTTCCCACGGGGAATTCAATTTGCAATAATTAAAAGGGAATGTAGTGGAGAGGATAAGCGGCGACTTGAGGGCCTTTCCACACCCACAAGAGCCTTTCCACACCTGGACTTCGGTGATGATGCATCGGTAATACTGCATCGGTAATAATAAATTGGAAATAATACATTGGGGTGCCGTGGTGGCGAGATGTTAACTACCTCGCTTGGTGTACAGGAGGTCGTGGGTTCGATCCTGACCCTGACACCTGAATAATTAGAGGTTGCCTGTTGACCAAGTTTTCGCGTGGATTTTTCTCCGGGTCCTCCACTTTTTCCCCTCCACATTTAGAATCGACTTGCGTTTTAGAGTGTTTGGCTGCCGGCTATGAATGTCCACATGATAAGCCACTTCGTTGAACTATCAATGGTGGCCAGGTCGCTCCTGAAAAAGAGCTATATGGCTCAGCGGGCCTTATCTGGTAAAATAAAAAAAGTTAATTACAAAAACTGCGGTTGGTAATTATACATTGGTAATAATACATTGGTAACAACCACCCTTTCTCCCTCCTCTGAAATTTGTTTAAAAACATCTGCAATAAAGATAGTGTTGAGACTCATTAAGGATTTCTTGGGGAAATAATTGGCATTGCCATTAATTCTCGTAAAAATATATAATATTAACGATACTTTACAGCACCTTAACGTGGTGCTAAAATTAACGTTAAAACGGGTGTTACATTAAAAGCAATTTGATAACAATAACAATCTTCGACGAAAACCCTTTTGTCAATCGACTGCTGGATGAAGGCCTCCCACCAAGCCTTTCGTTCATGGGTGTAATTTGACCATACTTCACCATGCGGGTCAGTGCGAGTAGGAAATCTCGGAGAGCCCAGGACTGGTTCGGGTATCACTCGCAACTGCTGTTGGCTGTGACAGGGAATCGAGCTGAGGGTCACCAGCTTCGTATTCCAGTACATTAAGCATGATGCCTCTGCACTATATTAATACTTATTACAATTGTTATCTATTTTCACGTGCTATAAAATAGACCATTGCCCGTTATTTTAAGGCCACGGCGTTATTGACTAATGTGTTGCGTTTCTTAGCATAATTACTTCTACAATAATGATTACGACGATGGCGACGATGGTGACAATAGTGATCACGATGATAACGATGATGATGACGATGATGATGATGATGACGATGATGTCGATGATGATGACAATGACGACGATGATAACGATGGCAATGATGATGATTACGACGATGATGATGACAACGACGACGATGATGATGGCAATGATGACGATGGCAATGATGATGACGATGATGAAAATTATGATGACGATGACTACGATGATGATGACTACGATAATGATGATGACAATAATGAAAATGACGACGACGATGACTACGATGACGATGATGGAGGCGGCGTAAATTTAAACGGTGCTCGATAAAAACGCGACAGGCGAACGAAGCCAGCTCAGGATCATCAAAAGTTAAAGTTCTTCTTGCGATAAACAGATCGGCCCGGGCAACAATGAAAATGCTAAAGATGTCCCCTAATACGACGGGAGTGACAATTCCACGCGAGCCAAACGATCCGTCCGCTCTTCACACACACACACAGACGCACATGATAGGGCTGCTACGTGCCCAGCCTCGGCCACCGATAGCCAAGCGCTCGATTGAGATCTGTTCAGCTCGACCGGAATGGCTCGTCGGGCTGCAAGAGACGCGTGGACGGACCTAATTTCCTCTCTCCCCGCTATCTCGCGCAGCCGTGAAGCACATCAAGAGGCGTGACCTGATGCTGAAGAGAGAGCTGGGGGAAGGAGCCTTCGGGAAAGTGTTTTTGGCGGAGTGCTTCAACCTGTACCCAGACATCGAAAAGACGCCCGTGGCTGTCAAGGTTTGTCGTCCCCCTCCTTCACCGTTCTGACACGGGTTCACGCTGCCTTGGAATTAGGCGGCAGCTGCCGAAGGATGAGTGTGTATGTGGGGAGCGGTGGTGCAGCGGTTAGCGCGCTGCGCTATGAACCTGGCGACCCAGGTTCGAATCCCGCTCACGGCCAACACCAGTGACGATTATCTGAACCGGTCCTCCCCTCAGCCTCAAATGAATACCTGGTGCGATGTGTAAACATCGTCACTAGGGAGACAAAGGCGGCCGGGCGTGGTGTTGGCCACCCACCCCCTCGTTTGCCGTGCCAGCCTTCATAGGTGCTCGCTAACAGCACTTGCCCCTACAGTATGTTAAGGCTAAATGGGGGATCTTTGTCTTTGTCTTGTGTGTTGAACCTCTTTTGCACCGTATGTAGCCAACAGCGCTAATCGGAGGTGCGGGGTAAGGACAACGAACTGAACGTAAAAAAATCAGTTCTAAAAAAATGCGTCTTCAATCTAGATGATTTAAAAGTGCATAGCTCCGGTGGCTGCCTAACATGGGAAGGAAGAGCGTTCCAGGCGGCCGCAGAAGCACATCTGAAAGCGCCGCGCGATGCGGTGACCGCAGTTTCTTCGATGGCCAGCCCAAAAGCCGCTGCGAGGTCGACCGGGAGTTCTTCGCGTGATGGTTTCATGCCCCTTGACGGGACCAGCAAGTGGGCAGGAACGACGCGACGGAGATGGAGCGATGAGATCACGTGCAGGAGATGGATCCTGACACCGCGAGGCCGTGGGGGCTACGGACGACTTTCCCTTACCGGAGGCAGAGAGACAGCATCGCTTGTCGTCGTGGTGGTTGTTCAGCGTAGACATCTCATCGATAATATGAGATGAGCTGTCTAATATTAGGAAGTCACTGGAGCCTATGCACTTTTAAATCTAGATTTTTAAAAAAAAATCTTGAACAGTTTTTTGTGTGTTTATTTTTTTGTCCTTCCCCCCGCATCTCCTATTAGCATGGTTGGCTACGTACGGTGCGAACGAAAGTTCAACATACATACGTCTATATACATCTATATAAGATAAGATCCAGCCTGCAAGAAAACATTTGCAAAGGGAAGCTCACTCTCGATGCATGGTGTGAAAAACTATAAATTACCTTATTGTTATAATCATAATATTAGTTTTCAGCGCTTCCTAATCGACAATTGGATAGAGGCTTTCCTACAAAAAGTTAGTCATGGGGTACGTTTGACCATTCTTCACCCCACTGGTCAGCGTGGCATGTGGTGAAAAGGAGGGCGAGGTGGGAGAGGGCAGAACCGGTTCAGATATCGATCGCTCATCAGTGACGTTAGTCTTGGCTGGGAATCGAACTCAGGCCATCGGGTTCATTGGCACACGGTGCGCTTAACCACTGCGCTGCCACTGTTCAAACTCTCACATCGACCAACTATGTAAAACTCTGCCATTCTTCCTGCTTAACAATTAAATTTTTTGTTACAGGGCTTCAAATGCAATAGGGGATTCCTTTATCTCAATTGGGCAAATTCATAAAACCTCAGCATCAGGGATTATTCTTTATTTTTTTATTTCCCTGCCAAAGAAAATAACAATTTCATGTTGTATAATGCATGCTGCCTTATCTTGTACAGTTTCACCGATGTATACTTTGATCCTAGAGCCCCTGACCCCATACATGGCTTATCAGGACTACCTGGGGGTAACAGAAATGCGAACAAAGGTTTCTCTTTAAAGTTTGTATCTCTCTCGATCACTAATAATAAGCGTCAGTGTTGCAGCCTTTTAATGAGAACATCTTTTTTAGTTAATTAAAGAAAGGTGCCAGAGGACACCCCATGTAGGCTATTGCTTTGCAACAAAACATTTAATATGATTTGGAAAATCGACTCAATGTGAGAGTTGAGTATATAAGTTATGCAGGATAAGCTAAATGTCCATGGTGGACAACGCCCATGGTGGACATTCTCAGTGGTGGACACTGCCCACGATGAACACTGTCCATTGTGGACACTACCCTTGCTGGAGACTTCCAGTGGTGGACAATGCCCACGGTGGAGGCTGGTAGCAGTTGTCCACCCCAGGTGGTATACCGAGCAAGCCCCTTCTCTCGCCGGCCACTTTTCAAGCACATGGGTACCGCACTATACAATCCGGACCATGTACCCACCCTCCACCCTCCATGCCCCCCCCTCCACCCCCATGTCCTCCCCCTCCACCCCTACCGCATTAGTATTGATGCGTCCACAAAGCCGTGGTGCCACCCTCCGCCCCCCCCCCCCACCCCTTCGTTATTAGGAGCAACGGGCAAGGCAACTCCAGGAACTCGAGGAATGGTTTGTCATGGGCACGACGGTGAGCGTGCTTCCGTAATAAAAAAAAATGGAAATTAATGAACTGAAAAAATAATGAGAATTTCTTTCGCGAGAGGAGAAAGAAAAAAAGAACGTGCTTCACGAGCGAGGATACCTTTGTTATATAGCGGCGGCATTAGAAATGCAAATTCAAAAGAAGGTTTGGTAATTAGAAACAAATATTGGGGCCTTCCAACAAAAAGTCTTCAAATTGTATTTCCAGGCGAGCGGCTGTGATCATAGCTCAGGTGATAAATTTTGCAGGTTATCCCTCGCTGCAACCCCACGCTCATCCCGGCGATGTTAAACCCTATCCCTGCATCTGAAGCCACAATTTAAATTGACTGTGCCACCTCCCCCAGCACCCCCACCGTGTGGGTCTCCTGCCCAGGTTATTGCGTCGTTAAATGAGTACAGGGGCACCCGAGTTAGCCATGCTGACGTGCAGACGAGAGAAGCGCTCACTGTAAAGTAAACCCGCTCACCCACTCGCTCACCCTCCCACTCACCCACCCCTCACCCACCCGCTCACCCACCCGCTCACCCACCCGCTCACCCACCCGCTCACCCACTTGCTCACCCTCCCACTCACCCACCCGCTCACCCACCCGCTCACCCACCCGCTCACCCACTTGCTCACCCTCCCACTCACCCACCCGCTCACTCACCCACTCACTCACCTGCTCATTCAACCCACCCACCCGCTCACCCACCCGCTCACCCACCCCTCACCCACCCGCTCACCCACCCACTCACCCATCCGCTCACCCACCCGCTCACCCACCCACTCACCCACCCGCTCATTCAACCCACCCACCCGCTCACCCACCCGATCACCCACTCGCTCACCCACCCGCTCATCCACCCACCCACTCACCCACCCACTTGCTCACCCACCCGCTCACCCACCCGCTCCACCACCCGCTTACCCATCCGCTCACCCACCCGCTCACCCACCTGCTCACCCACCCACTTATCCACCCGCTCGCCCACCCGCTCACCCACTCGCTCACCCACCCGCTCACCCACCCGCTTACCCACCCGCTCACCGACCCGCTCGACCAACCGATCAACCACCCACCCACTCATTCACCCCACCCACCCACTCACCCACCTGCTCACTCACCCAATCACCCACCCGCTCATTCACCCCACCCACCCGCTCACCCACCTGATCACCCATCCGCTCACCAACCTACTCACCCACCTGCTCACCCACTCACACCACCTGCTCACCCACCCGCTCATTCACCCGCTCACCTGCTCACTCACTCGCCCACCCCCGCCTCTCAGTCCAGCCAGGCTTCACACACAGTGCGCCCGAGCGTCGCTCCTTCATCCATCGCCCCCCTCCCCCTTTCAGCACCGGCGAATGGTACACGGCGGTGATGATCATCCGTCGCTCGGCGAGCGAGGCAGCGAGGGGGCTCAGCGAGGCACCCGCCTGTGACGCTCGCTCGATTCGTTTTGTGCCCGCTTCCGCTCCGCGGTCCTACAACCCTCTTGCTGATTTAGGGACATCGCAACACTTTGACGCAGGGGACACAAAGACAAAGATCCCCCCCCGCGTAGCCTTAACAGACTGTTAGGGCAAGTTCTGTTAGCGAGCACCTGTGAAGTCTGGCACGGTACCCAGGCCAGTGGGTGGCCAGCGCCACGCCCGACCACCTTTGTCTCCCCCGTGGCGATGTTTTTACACATCGTACCAGGTACTTATTTGAGGCTGAGTCGACCTAGGGGAAGCCCAGCACCAGTTCAGATAATCGTCACCGGTGTTGGCCGTGAGCGGGAATCAAACTCGGGCCGTCGGGGTTGTAGTGGGGCGCGCAAACCGCTCGACTTGCGTGTAGGGGACGTAGACATACACGCACAGACATGCACAGACACGCGCAGACACGCGCAGACACGCACAGACATGCGCAGACACGCAGAGACACGCGCAGACACGCAGAGACACGCACAGACACGCACAGACACGCGCAGACACGCAGAGACACGCGCAGACACGCACAGACACGCACAGACACGCGCGGACCTGCAAATAACAATAAGGTATTTAATTAGCGTCATACATTTACTCGGTTATATAATGCCCGGGGACACATTATGCATAGTTGGTGATTTTTTTCCCGCTCCTATGTCCACCCCCCCTGGCAAGCAATGCAATGGTCTAATAATGTGAAATGTGTACGTGAGATAATGAATACTTGAATGCGATTCAGGCGAATGGCCAGAGGACATTGGAGGACTTAAGCTGGTCAAGTGATTATGTGGGATCAGGAGTAGGGGAGAGTTGTGGACTGGACAGCCCTCTAGGTGATGATTAGAAACCAGCACTCCAACACTGCAGCTACACACAAACACTTGCCAGATTAAGGCCATTTCTACCCAATGCAAAAACATACTTTCGCGAAAAATTTGAAAAAAAATAAGTGGACAATATTTTCGCTTTCGTAATTTCATAATGTTTAGTCAAATTGAGATGCGAAAGTAATATCTGGATAGGCGGGGCAGTGTCCTCTCCTCAAATCCCACCTAGGTCTGACACCGTGACGTCAAAGAACCCACCCCCCCCCCCAAAAGCACGGGGCCCGGGTCGATCGCCCCGGTTCTAAGAGTTGTGTTTGCTCTGGTATAACACGAGCACATAGCTTAAATAGAAAAGGTACAGGCTATACAATTTATTTTCTAATGCCGCTGCTGGGGGAAGAATTAATTTTAATAGATAAATCAATGTCTATTTCCTCTTCCACCTAAATATCTTTTATTACACTTCCTATCAAGAGGCCTTCCTTCCGGGAGAGCATAAACTCATCGGCACACCGTCGACGAATATTTCCGTCGCGATTCTCGTCGACGGCACTCGCCTTCGACGAGCCTCCGTCACGTCCATTCGATGATTATTTACCACACTCATTCGCCCATCACTTTACCTCGCCACATCTTCGCGTTCGTGCGGCGTCGCCCGTCCGATGTTATCCAGCGAAGGGCGCCACGTGTATCCCCGCGTCTACACACGTACGTGTGAAAACATCAATGATGACTGTTTGCTACCGCCATTGCTGCCACGAGCAAACTCCAGTCACCCGACGACGCTCCGTCCCTCGCGCAGACCCTGAAAGACCTCAGCGGCGGTGCACGCAAGGATTTCTACCGGGAGGCGGAGCTCCTCACGAACCTGCAGCACGACCACATCGTGCGCTTCTACGGCGTCTGCTCTGAGGGCGAGCCGCTCATCATGGTGTTCGAGTACATGCGGCACGGTGACCTCAACAAGTTCCTCAGGTGAGAGCCGCAACCTCCGATCGATACGTGCGGCACGGTGACCTCAACAAGTTCTTCAGGTGAGATCTTGGTACATGTGGTCTGGTGACCCCAACAAGTCCCACAGGTGAGCTCGGTACATTCGGCAAGGTGACCTTAAAAGTTCCTCAGGTAATCAAGGTGCCGCAGAGATCTCGTGTTCCAGCCACTGTGTGGTTGATCAGGGTCCTCATGTCGTAAGTAGATTTTTTAAATATAATTATTATTAATGCACTTGTTTTACTCAGGATTAGTCTGAGTCTCAAGACTCTTTTTCAGAAGGGTCCTACCAGGTTTTCGCAGTAGGGAGTGCGATTATTGTGATCTGCAATCCAAATTTGATCCGTGACGCTGGTACACAATGGCACTCCTTTTTGCAAATGACGTCACGGGATCTTTAACGTCCACTCTGAAGCAGACGGCGTGGAGTATTTCTACGATAATTAATCGGGGTGGCCGCTCGATTCGAACCGTGAACAATTGTCAAATGCGCTACCGCTATGTCACGTCACCAAGAACAAAATATAGTGACCCATAGAGCTGCATCGAGACCCATAGACCTACGTAGACCTATACAATTACATAGAGACCCATAGACGCAAGTTGACTGAGCTGTGATTACATGGGGTTCTAGAGATGATGGCTTTAGCCCAGTTATAAACGACTTCACACACACACAAAAAAACATCACAATAATAAGAATGGTTTTTGAACTCAGTATGTCAAAATTCCAGCTCTCAAAGTGCAAAATTGTCGGTCTTGACTTCTACGCGGCCGCTGATTTGTCTACGGCGGCACACTTGAGGAAGTGCACGTCTGTTGTGTGTGGCTGCAACGGGTCACGTGACGGGATCTCGGCCATTTTCTACGGTGCGGGGTGGCGCACCGCCCTGCTCGGGTTTCCGATGGACTTTTGTTCGTCTCATCACGTGGCTCCCGACAGCACACTCGGAATAAAATTGGGGAATTACAAGAAGAACCCCCCCCCCCCCCCCTGCTTTCAAGTACTTTCATGTTAAAAGTCAAAGTATATTGAGAGACAGGGCGAATGCTCATGTATATTGTTAGCCCTGATCCAGAAATAACAATATTAATAATGCCCTTTATTTTACCTAGACGAGGCCTTGCTGAGTTTCAATTTTTTTTTTTATTTCAGGAGAGCCAACGTATGGCCAACTCCATTAATGAGAGCCTGCCATTATGCGGGAGGAAATGTATGTGCGCGTGTTGAACTTGTTTCGCATCGTACGTAGTCAACCGTGCCATTCGGAGGTGCGAAATCGGTGGAGACACACACACAAAAGTCCTGCATACGTGTGGCTACCACTCAAAGCCCCGCACAGATGGATGGGAGAATCCATTGCTCTGGTGCCATCCCCTGGCAGACTGATGCGCAACCGTTGTTGACCTTGGCGGGCAGGCTGCCGCCGGTGATGACACTGGTGCCTCGCAGCAGGAAGTTCCCTGGGCTCGATTCGCGATGCGGGATTACTTTTCGATATTAAGCTTTCGTCACTGCAGGGATTCATCTTCTTGGTTCTTTCGGTAAAGTCACGTAGAAGGGAAGTAATAAAATAATAAAAATAAAACATAATAAAATAATTCTCTCGACGTTTCGGCCACAACGCAAGCAGCCGTCCTCAGGTGAAGAATGAAACACCACCAAGCTTGGGGCAGTATATTTAAGCTGGGTTGGAGGGGGGGAGGTGGGAAGAAGAGCGCCTTGACAAAATAATTTGCATATCAAGAGGAATTTAGCATATGGAAAATGCGCATTTTCCATATTCCATATGCTAAATTCCTCTTGATATGCAAATTATTTTGTCAAGGCGCTCTTGAGGACGGCTGCTTGCGTTGTGGCCGAAACGTCGTGAGAATTCATCTTCTTGGTTCTTTCGGTAAAGTCACGTAGAAGGGAAGTAATAAAATAATAAAAATAAAACATAATAAAACAATTCTCACGACGTTTCGGCCACAACGCAAGCAGCCGTCCTCAGGTGAAGAATGAGACAATGCCAAGCTAGGAGCTTATATATAAGCTGCGTTGGAGGTGGAAGAAAGAGCGCCTTAACAAAAGAATGTGCATATGAAGAGGAATTTAGCATATACATGGAAAATGCGTAGGAGGTGGGCGGGGGGGTTTCAAAGTCATATTATGCCCATGCATTATGCAGGATCAACAGCACCAAGGGGGGGTGCAGGGATTAGCAGTAACAAAGGAAAGGAATGTTAATGATATGTAGCTGCAGTTACTCAACAACCACGTAGAAAACTAAAGTATAAACTACATAAAAAACTAAAGTATAAATTGCATAGCACCATCAGTATACTTACTATACTCTACACTAAGCTGAGTTACTAACAGCAAGTAATACATTACAATTCTACGTCGTAAAAAATTATATAATATGCTTCCATCTAAACTTTATTCTATTGTATCCCACGAGCATATACCGTACTATATACTGCCAACATTAAATTATATACTGTATTGCTGTAAACCAACCTATACCTTATACATTTAATATAACACTATGTATTATTCTACCCACCCTAATGTGTGTCGAAATGGTTTATTACGTCCTTCCAATGATTGCTAAGCCAGAATCCATCTTCTCGGTTAAAATTGTCTCTGTGTTTGTATATGTGGATCGCCTCATGAACGAATCTCTCATGATAGCCAGATGGCTTGCAAAGAACCTCTGTCTTGGAGAAGTCAATATCATGTGAGCCCACTGAGTTGTAACAGTGATCTGCCACGGCTGAGGTGTTTGTCCTACCGTGTTTCAGGTCAGCTTTATGTTCACGGATGCGGTCCGAGACATGTCGTTTGGTTTCCCCAATGTAACTGCTACCACAGAGGCAACTTAGTTTGTAGACGCCAGGGTACTGTATGTCTGAAACCACATCTTTTACAGATGGTACCAGATCACGGATTTTATGTACTGTGTTGAATCGGACCTGGATCTTGTGTTTAATCAGGATTTTGGAGATCTTTTTTGTGACCCCAGCAATGTAGGGTAAGGTGATGGTCTTGAAAGGCTCCTCAACAGGATCCTTCTTGATGGTTGAAGTGATGGCTTTGCGGATTGTGTAGTCGGAGTAACCATTAGCCTTAAGAGCTTGGCGTACGTGTTTGAGTTCACTGGAAATGTGTTCATGGTCGGAGATGCATTGGGCTCTATGATATAGAGTCTTGATGAGGGAATTCTTCTGGGATGGATGGTGGTGGGAATCCGGTTTTAGATAAGCATCCGTGTCGTGAGAATTATTTTATTATGTTTTATTTTTATTATTTTATTACTTCCCTTCTACGTGACTTTACCGAAAGAACCAAGAAGAGGGATTACTTTTCTCCGTGGTGGAGTTTGTCACGTTCTCCCGCTGATCTTAGCTGGTTTCCTTTGGGTTCTCCGGTTTCCTCCAAGAGCTCCAAACAGACATACATTGCAACCGGTGTTGGCCACACATCCCAATGTTTAAAGAATTATACTGCAAGCTACTTAGTTGGGATCACACGCAGCAGCAGCAGCGGCAGGAGCAGCAGCAGCAACATCGGCTCCTCTTCCGAAATCTTGGCAGGGCCCTCCCGCACCTCCGATTAGAAGTTCAACGTACTCAACGTACTCATTTGAGGCTGAGCCAACCTAGGGAAGACGCAGAGGAACGGTTCAGATAATCCTCATCACTGGTGTTGTGGCCATAGGCAGGAATCGAACTCACGAACAACAACATCAACAACCGCCAGTCGCCACTAAGTGGCGGTGACATCACCACGGCGCCTGTGCCAGGCTACGTGCACGTTAAGGCCACGTGAAAGTGTCGAAGGCCCGCTGGCAAGGAGGTCACGGGACAGACCCAGGTGTCATGGGGTAGACTGAGATGACTGGCAGATACACACCACCTGTGCCCCCTACTGTGCTGTCTTGCGTGCAGCGCTTTCCGATGGTATCCACAGATGAGGCGTGTTTTTTTTTCAATTTCCTTCTCAATAAACAGAACGCTGAGCACATCAAATAATCCCGTACCCTCCTGTGTGCCACCCCCCTCCCCCACCCCCGTGTTTCATAGTCCCCGGGTATTTCTTGGTTTTAATGGCACGGTGGGCTCGTGGGAATAGAGAGGGCGGCAACGCGGAGACCCCTCGTGTTGTACATGACGTCTCCCCCGCTCTTGCCACGCAGATGGACGAGAGGGCTTTACATTTCCCAGAGGGTAATTTTTACTCTTTTCGGTGGGTTTTTTTTTTTGCTTTCTGGTTTTAGCCGACGGATATTTGTTTGTTTTTTCGTTATAGGAAGCCCTCACGTGTGCGCGCGCGTGCAGTGTGCTGTGGGGAGCGGTAGCGTAGCGGTTAGCGCACTGTGCTACGAGCCCGGCGAACCCGAGTTCGATTCCCGCTCACGGCCACCAACACCAGGGACGAATATCTGAACTGGTCCTGGGTTTCCCCTCGGTCGACTAGCCCGGTGCGATGTGTAAACATCGCCACTGGGGAGACAAAGGCGGCTGGGGGTGGTGCTGGCTACCCACACCCTCATGTAGCATTCCGGCCTTCATAGGTGCTCGCTAACAGCACTTGCCCCAACAGTCTGTTCAGGCTATACAGGGGGTCTTTGTCTTTGTGGTGTGGTAAGTGTGGGTACTCACACATTTTCCAAGACGTCTGGACCACGTGGAAGAGGAAGCCAATGCAATCAATTAACAGGGGCTCTCTCGGGCAGGGGTCCCCAACTCCCAGGGCCGCAGACCGGTACCGATCCGTGGCCTGTTAGGAACCAGGCCGCACAGCAGCAGGAGGTGAGAGCGGTGAGTCCGCGCGTGGCCCGTCCTCATTATTTTATTATTTACCACTTCAGTCCGCGCCTCTTTCCCGCACTGCGCACTTGTCTCAGTCACAGTTTTGGTAAGACCACGAGCTGCTAACCCCTAGCCAGAATGAGTAAAAAACTAACGTGGGAAAGACCCAATGATGACCCCCCCCCCCCCCCCCCGCCAGTCTGTGAAAAATTTGTTTTCCACGAAACCGGTCCCTGGTGCCAAAAAGGTTGGGGACCGCTGCTCTAGAGCATGCTCGAGTGAAGGGCCTTCCAGCAGCAGTGGCATCAGCAGACAACTGCAGGGCTGCCCCTTTGCCCTTACCTTTTTATATTAATAATAATAAATAGAATACAAAGTAAAAGTTTTAATTTCGCGCCTCCGATTAGCACGGTTGGTTACGTACAGCGTGGAAGAATATCAACAACACACACATCCAAATGATCGTAATTTCATGCAGACTTTTTTTTATATACACAAAAAAATATATATATTTAAAAAAATCAAAGCCCTCTAACGGTGCCAGATGATGGAAGCTTCAACAAAAAAATCACACGAAGAATCAGATCATTACAGCGCCACACACTAATGCCCGCTCCCTTGTCACGCTTTTGATCGCCGGCTCATTTCGGGAGATGTTGGGTATCAAATAAATGTGATTTTTTTTTACACTAAAGCAGTTCGAATCGCTGGACTATATTTAATTATTTTCCCACCAAAATTAATGCGAATGAGCTTGCCTTGACAAAAAAAAATGGGGAGTTCAATATATATACACGTACGTATTTTCCCTCCACGCCTTTTTATTCTGCTCATTAATAACCCATGGCTTTGGTGATTAAGCCTACAAACCTCGTGGCCATGGCAGTGCTGCCCTACATAGGCACGCCTTTAATCAGTGAGCAACAATTGTCCATGTCCTTCACTGACAGACATACAGCCCAAGGGATCTTTAAACTATTTTGTGGAACCATATTAAAATTTGACTTCTTTTTAAACGAACAAAAAAATCGCTTCCTACGAGATGCAAGCATATGCGGACTTTCTTTTTTGTTCTGGAGCGAGGGATTAATTAACGTAATTATCTCGTATATTAATGAGGTCAGAGATGCAGCGGTAGAGTCTGCAGAACAAACATTTGGGAAGGAAAATATAATAATCTGTGAAAAGAGCTTTATAGCTTTTTTTTCGATTTAAAGCTTTCGTGACTGCAGGGATTCATCTTCTTGGTTCTTTCGGTAAAGTCACGTAGAAGGGAAATAATAAAATAATAAAAATAAAACGTAATAAAATTTCGATTTACAGATTTCGTGACTGCAGGGATTCATCTTCTTGATTCTTTCGGTAAAGTCACGTAGAAGGGATATAATAAAATAATAAAAATAAAACTTAATAAAATTTCGATTTAAAGCTTTCGTGACTGCAGGGATTCATCTTCTTGGTTCATTTGGTAAAGTCACGTAGAAGGGAAATAATAAAATAATAAAAATAAAACTTAATAAAAATTTCTATTTAAAGCTTTCGTGACTGCAGGGATTCATCTTCGTTGTTCTTTTGGTAAAGTCACGTAGAAGGTAAATAATAAAATAATAAAAATAAAACTTAATAAAATTTCTATTTAAAGCTTTCGTGACTGCAGGGATTCATCTTCTTGGTTCTTTCGGTAAAGTCACGTAGAAGGGAAATAATAAAATAATTAAAATAAAACATGATCAAATTTCGATTTAAAGCTTTCGTGACTGCAGGGATTCATCTTCTTGGTTCTTTCGGTAAAGTCACGTAGAAGGGAAGTAATAAAATAATAAAAATAAAACATAATAAAATAATTCTCACGACGTTTCGGCCACAACGCAAGTAGCTCTTCGGATTCCTCCTGCGGTTGAAATACATATTCTCGCTATATAAATAAACATTCCGAGTCTGAAAGATTCTAATCACTATTTTATCGCTGCTACCATGGTTACTGTTCCCGTGAACTTCACTCATCGATTCCTCCACCCATGTTGAGGTCTTTGTCTCCACCCGACTGTTTCGTCTCATCCACAGTGCGCTAAGCCACCACCACCACACTACTGCAGGTCACCACAACTCACCCACTCACTCACCCACTCACTCACCCACACACTCACCACAGTGCAGGTCACCACAACCCACTCACTCACCCACTCACTCACACACTTACCACACTGCAGGTCACCACAACCCACTCACTCACTCACACACTCACCACACTGCAGGTCACCACAACCCACTCACTCACCCACTCACACACTCACCACACTGCTGGTCACCCAAACTCACCCACTCACACACTCACTCACCTACACACTTACCACACTGCAGGTCACCTCAACCCATCACTTACCCACTCACACACTCATCACACTGCAGGTCACCACAACACATCACTCACCCACTCACCCACACACTCACCACACTGCAGGTCATCACAACCCATCACTCACCCACTCACTCAACACACTGCAGGTCATCACAACCCACTTACTCACCCACTCGCTCACCACACTGCTGGTCACGACAGCACATCATTCACCCACTCACTCACCCACTCACTCACCACACTGCTAATCACGACATCTCATCACTCACCCACACACTCACCACACTGCTGGTCAACACAAATCATCACTCACCTACGCACTCACCCACACTGTCACCACACTGCTGGTCAACACAAATCATCACTCACCTACGCACTCACCCACACTGTCACCACACTGCTGGTCAACACAAATCATCACTCACCTACGCACTCACCCACACACTCACCACACTGCTGGTCAACACAAATCATCACTCACCTACGCACTCACCCACACTGTCACCACACTGCTGGTCAACACAAATCATCACTCACCTACGCACTCACCCACACACTCACCACACTGCTGGTCAACACAAATCATCACTCACCTACGCACTCACCCACCCACTCACCACACCGTAGGTCGCAATCCCTTCTCTTTCTGCTTTTTCCCTCACGCTGCTCCACTTCGGAATTCCCTCCCATTGTCTCTTTTTCCCAATGTCCTACAACCTTGCTTAATTCTAGAAATGTGTTCATTAATATCCATTCAGACCTTTAACTGTGCCGTTTTGTTATTGGTTCTTTGCGTTTTGATCCTTTGCTCAGCAACTGAGTTGCAATACTGTATTCGAAAAAAAAGTTTTGCTGGCTGGCTGGCTGGCTGCTTGACTGGCGGGCAAGTGCGCGGTGGGGACGTCACCGCGCACCTCTGTGTGATGACGTCGCCTGCATCCCCCACGGCGTCGAGCCGGGTTTGTGTGTCACGCTGACGTCAACACGCCCCCAAAAAGACAAAGGTCCCCTGTGTAGCCTGTAACAGACTGCTGGGGCAAGTGCTGTTAGCGAGCACACGAGGGGGTCGGTGGCCAGCACCAGGCCTGGCCGACTTTGTCTCCCCGGTGACGATGTTTTACACACTGCGCCAGGTACTCATTTGAGGCTGAGTCGACCGACGGGAGGCCCAGGACCGGTTCAGACAATCGTCACTGATTGTCGGCCGTGAGTGGGAATTGAACTCGGGTAGCCGGGGTCGTAGGGCAGCGTGGCGCTAACCGCTACACCACAGCTCCCCCAACCGACGCACCCACCCACCCCTCCGGCCGTGCAGCCCACGCAAATGCGCGGGCAGTGCGAGTTGAAAACAAAAAATCCACGCAAAATTCTAAACAAAAAATTAGTCCCACAATTAATTGAGCATAACCACAGGGCAACATCACCCCCTACAGGCAGATGATATCGCTTATAGGGGGACCAAAGCACCTTCGTGATAACCTTGCCGCTATATACCGCACGTACTTGTCAATATTACCGCATCGTTACTACCGGTGCGTGACGTTCACGGAGTGGGCGATATACATCATGGCTGCCCCGGTTGTCCGGTTCACCCTGACGCCCCCGTCCCACCCCTGTGACCCCCCACCTCCCCACAGGTCGAACAGCCCAGATTCGTCATTCCTTGACGACACCCCGCGGCGAGGAATTTACAGCGGGGAGCTCAACTGCACCCAGATGCTGCACATCGCTACACAGGTACGCCATTGCACGCACAAAGACAAAGCTCCCCCGTGTAGCCTTAATAGACTGGTGGAGCAAGCGCTGCTCGCGAGCACCTATGAAGGCGGGCACGGCGGAAGCGGTGGTGGGTGGCCAGCACCACGCCAGGCCGTCTTTGTCTCCCCCAGTGGCGATGTTTACACACCGCGCCAGGTACTCACTTGAGGCTGAGTCGACCTAGGGGGGGAGGCCCAGGACCGGTTCAGATAATCGTCACCGGTGTTGGCCGTGAGCGGGAATCGAACTCGGGTCTCCGGGTACGGAGCGCGGTGTGCTAACCGCTGCGCCACCGCTCCCTAGCAGCACTCACACACAGACACGCAGCTCTGGCGGATGTGGAAGAGAGGGGGGCAAGTGAAGAATGCATCTCAAGTGGAGCTCAGCGTAAAACATGGACAAAACAAAAAAGCCACGTGCAACAAAACATTTTTTACGGACTTGGTTGTTTATATTCTTAGGTTTTTTCGGTAAAGTCACGTAGGTAAAAATTTAAAATTAATAAAAGTAAAATAAAAATAAAATAAAAATCACGACGTTTCGGAGGCAGCACAAGCTTCCGTCTTCAGGTGGAACCGTCACAGCACGACGGAAGCTTGTGTTGCCTCCGAAACGTCGTGATTTTTATTTTACTTTTATAAATTTAAATTTTTTACCTACGTGACTTGACCGGAAAAAACCTAAGAATATGAATCCTTGCAGTCACGAACGCTTCAAATCTAGAATTGGTTGTCTATATTATTTTTGTTTGAGGTTTAGGCCACGGCGTAACGATTTGGCCAAATTTGTGTCGTCGAAACCCTCCGCCGCCCTTTTTACACGGCCAAACAAATAAAAATGTCGCGGCGTGCAAGTGTGTGACGAGCAAATTGTCGTTGTTCTTATCTATTTTTCGGCTCATCGGTGAGTTGAGGAAGGGTTCGGTGTACGTCAAGTGACAATTAAATTTTGGTTGGCCTTGTCAGGTCGTGCAGGGTCCTAACGACACAAGCGTGGCCAGATGGGAGTGATGCGAACAATTAATATGCTCTTAGCTCAATGGCTCTGACCCGAAATAAATTGACCGGCGCATTGCCACGGTGGCGAGATGTTAACTACGTCGCCTGGTATACAGGAGGTCGTGGGTTCGATCCCGACTCTGACGCCTGCTGTATATTCGGAGTTTGCGTGTCTCTCTCTATCTCTCTCCCCGTGGTCGCGTGGATTTTTCTCCGGGTCCTCCGGGTTTTCCCTTCAACGTTTATAATCGACATCACGCGTTTAGAGCACTTGGCCGACATACATTTCAACATGATGAGACATCACTTCGTTGGGCCATCACCTGTGGCCAGGTCGCTTTCTGAAAACGATGCTATATTGCTCCAGTGGGCCCTTGCCTGGTAAAATAAAAAAATAGTTTTAGAAAAAAAAATTGTACTTTACTTTTCTCCCCTTCGGCGCCCTTCGGCGCCCTTCGGCGGGGCCCTGTATGGTTAGGGGCAGCGAGCCCGTTCTCCATACCCCCGTTTTTCATGGTCGGTTTGGCTTGTGCGCGTCACAACTCGATGAAAATAAATAGATTTAAAATTTCGATTTAAAGCTTTCGTGACTGCAGGGATTCATCTTCTTGGTTCTTTCGGTAAAGTCACGTAGAAGGGAAGTAATAAAATAATAAAAATAAAACATAATAAAATTTAATTTTATTACTTCCCTTCTACGTGACTTTACCGAAAGAACCAAGAAGAAGATTTTAAATTATACAGTTTTATAGACTGACCGACTGACCGACTGGCTGCCTTGCAGGTGGCGTCGGGGATGGTGTACCTGGCCTCGCAGCGCTTCGTCCACCGCGACCTGGCCACCCGCAACTGCCTGGTGGGAGAGAACATGCTGGTGAAGATCGGCGACTTCGGCATGTCCCGGGACGTCTACAGCACCGACTACTACCGGGTAAGCGGCGCCAAACCCGGGTTTTTCCGCGAAACGCGTCGGAGGTCGCCGGTAAATGCGGTGCACGGCCGGAGGAAATCCTGCGATGCAACGAAGCTCAAGTCCACAGGCAGCGACCAGAGGGCCTTCGCTCCTGTGGCACCGAGACTGTGGAACTCTCTGCCGAAGGCCATAAAAAAGAGCTTAATAGCTCATCGGATTTCTCTGGTATAAATAAATTAAGATTCTGATCCTGATGACTGTGTCAGGGAGTCCGGTTTGACTGGCATCCTCAGGTCCTTCCGCCTAAAAATATTTTTTCTTCCAGAAGACTTTTTTTTCTCCCGTCCAAGAACTAACCAGGCTCGAAGCTGCTTAGCTTCTGAGATCGGAGGAGATCGTGTGCATTCAGGGTGATGCGGTCGTTGGTGCGAGAAGGCGTTTTCGATTTTAACTTGGAGCCGCTCCTTACCCGGCACAAACCCACATTGTCGCCGATGTAAAGCGCCGTGAGATTGTATGAAAGCAACTATATGAGCTGTAATCAATATTTTTACTCATAATATAATAGGTGACGTATGTATGTGGAACTTTTTTTGCACCGTACGTAGCCAACCTTGACAACCAGAGGTGACATTATGGGCAATGGCACTTCTTCACAGCTCATACAACAATTTATTTGTACTCATGTGCTTTCAAGAAGGGGCATTGCCAGAAATGTCAGCAATTGTACATTTCTAAATTTAAGGTGTTCTCAATTAATGTGGTGAGTTTGTTGTCACAATAATAATAATAATAATCTCACAACGCAAAGCCTCGCATTCTGAGCCTCTACAGCATCCTCGTATTTCCAGGCAGTCTCCCATCCTACTTTTTGTTTTTTTCGGTAAAGTCACGTAGGTATTTTTAAAAAAATAAATTAACTCACAACGTTTCGGAAGCAACACAAGCCTCCGTCATCAGGTGTAACTGCTCCAGTAAAATTGCTCATACGCTACAGCAATTTCACTGGAGCAGTTACACATGATGACGCAGGCTTGTGTTGCTTCTGAAATGTCGTGAGTTAATATATAAAAAATGTTTACCTACGTGACTTTACCGAAAAAACCAAAGAGTATGAATCCTTGCAGTCACCAAAACTTCAAATCTAGAATAGTCTCCCATCCGTGCGCTGTACCAGGCCCAGCCCTTGCTGAGCTTTTGAGATTCGACGAGGTCGGGAACATTGTGGCGAAATTGGTAAAAGGTGATTTACAATGTTGGTAGATTATACAGAGATGCAGCTTGCATGGAGCTATAGAGACAGTGCCACCTGCAGTACAGAAAGTAGGTTGCTGGCCAACCTGAGCAGAGTTTGAGTGCGCTGCCTTGGTACGAGTGAGTTTCCTTCGTAACCAGGCCTTGTCATCCACGCAGACCCGTTAAGGAATCGGCATCCTATCCCAAGCAGGACCCACTTGGAAATTGGTCTTGAGGCTCAAGGGGAATTGTGCTGTGAAGCACAGCAACTGTCTGGCTTAAACTTAGTTCAAGAGTGAACAAAACAAAAAAAAAACATTACACGCGTGTATATATTTTTTTAAACATAATTTACACGTACAAATGCTGCCAACTTCTGATAGTCGTCTCCCTATTTTTCTTTTTATTACAATTTTTTTTGTTATTTAAAGGACGCACTTATCATATTCAGCACTTATCGTTTGTACTCGCGGTTTTTTTTCAACAGTCCTGCACTTAGCCCAGTGGTTAAAATCCCAACGGCATTTGTGCCCGTGGTCTCGCCTGCTATTTGAAAAGCCACATTGGTGGTGGTCGAGGTAGTGATTGCCTAATGCGGTGCTACGGCACGCAATGGGAGCTCTGTATTCTTTTGCCGGGACGCCACGCTAGAGGCGCGTATATTTTTCTATCGCCGTTGTCCGCAGCACTTTTTAGAATTTAAGCACACGTGGCGAGACGTTAACTACCTCGCCTGGTATATATCAGGAGCTATACACGAAGACATTTGACATTTGCACGTTATTGCAAATTATCCAAAATCAAAAAGATCCAAAGTTTTTCTTTCAAAATCTTAAAATCTAAAATCCGGTATGCATCTTTTTTCGAATGACAATATCATCGCTACAATCCACACATCATATGAACCGACCAAATAAATAAACCGAACATATTCATATTTAACAGAGAGGGGGACATCAGAGAAGACTCATGCACACGCACACATATATAAAGTAATTTTCAAACAAAACCCCCTAAAAATACATTAAATAAAATACCAACAGGTAACATTTTTTTTTAAAGCAAGCTTATATTCCAAAACTGCCGCCGCACTACCAATCTTAATGAGTCCAATTTGCGCGGGCATTCTCCGCTTCACTTCGGCTGTGATGTATCATCTATTGACATTTTTTGACCTCTGCCTGAATCGTGGCGCCCCGAACAACCAACGAGAGGTGTTTCGCACAATCACGCGGCGGCGGCGGCGGCGAAGAAAAAAAAAATCCGATGCGACCCGCCGTGAGATTATTGGCTCGGAGCGACGAGAGTGCCAATGGCACTCAGACGCAGGAGACGGCGAAATAAAGAAACTCAAGTCACCTTCACGCTCAAGGTCTCCCACTTAACTATTTATTGGGCCCCCGAAGTGCGATGGCTTTGTTCGACCCCCCACCACCTGCCCCACCCCGCCCAGCCCAGCCCCGCCTGGGCCTCCTGCGTATTCACGCTGTAAGTCGCCTGTGCCTGGCTCGTGAGAGCGACGATCGCCAGTAATCGGACCGTCTGGTGCCTTGCTGTCGGTCAGATCGATGGAAATGAAGGGCACTCTCCTGTGGTCGTGGTGGTGGTGATCTATGCTAATTGAACGCTCTCAGACCTGCGCCACTGTGCCCCTTGCCGATTACCTTACTAGCCATAAATTATTCTTCGTCCTCCTCTTTGTCATCCTCCTCTTCTTCCTATTCCAGCGACATGTTTCGCCCAAGACCACTCCTCCTTCTCGCTTTATTTAACCTGCTTGTGTTGGCCAATCCAGGTGGTCCTATGTCTATCTCTCAACGCGACGTGCAAGCGTCACAGCTAAATGCGTATTCCTCCTTGGACTTATTCCAGCTCCGAAAAAAATAGAACATTAGTTTGATTGATGGCCGATACATACTCTTGGTAAGGCATATATATATCGATTTGTAACCATCGTATTGATAAGGGCTCCGATTTAAGTGACCTCCGGGAGTAGATCCGTGACCTCTACACCTGGGGGAATCCTCTGACACAGGGTAGTGCACTGCTGGCTCCCCGAGTTCTAAACGGACGTCTCTTGACACAGGCTCGGATGCACGACGTGAAAGCGATTCGTGAAAAATGGAAACGTGACCTCTGCTGTCCCCACATACAGTTTGCGTGTAATATGTATGTTGAATTTATGCTGTACGTATGTAGCCAACAAATGTAATCGGAGGTGCGGGGGAAGGACAACAATCTAAACACAAAAAGCAGTTCTGAAGAAATTATGATTTAAAAGTGTATCATAGCTCCCATTGGCTTCCTAATATCAAAAGGAAGAGCGTTCCAGACGGCCGCAGAAGAGGCGTCTGAAAGTGCCGCGCGATGATGCGGTGACCGCCGCCTTTGTTTCCGTGCGACGCTTCCGCAAGCAAGCCCGAGAATTTGAGCGTTTGGGGGAGTAGCAATACAAAAACAAAATACGGGCCCCCGATGTTTTGAAAAGCTGTGGAAAGGGGGGCGATGGGAAGAGGCGAAATTTAAAATCAAACGTCCACGCCAACAAGCCGCTCGGCTGATTCATGTTAAAAAGGGGGGAAATAAAGTAGCGAGCAGATTTTAACGTGAGCACAAAAGCTTCCACCCCCCCCCCCTCCCCAATCTCATTCTCTACCCCATCCTCGATTCAAAGTATTACCTTCATTTAAATAAACATTTGCACACATCAACGCGGGCGAGCATACAACGTACCGAAAACCAAATGGGATTTTTAAAAAATATATTTCCATTTAATCTAATCAAATGGAAATAAAACGCTATAAACAAGGGGGCTTAGCGGCAAACGTTGCCGCCGTGCTGGATAATATCCATTCTAATACAGTTGACCTTTGCCTTCACGACCTTCCGCTTTGGATATTTGTCAAGTGTATTATATCGAGCCAATGTCTTTCATCACGCTGACATGTGGACTGCGTTAGGTTCAGATCTCATTTGTGAATTCCACGTTGCAATGCCGGCAATTGCACACGAGACAAAGGTCCCCCGCATAGCCGTCAACAGAGTGTCGGGGTAAGTGCTGTTTAGCGAGCAGCGCCTACGAAGGCCAGGGGGTGGATGGCCAGCATCACGTCCGGCCGCCTTTGTCTCCCGCCTAGCAATGCTTTTACGCATTGCACGAGGTACTCATTGGAAGTTATGTCGACCTAGGGGAGGCCCAGGACCGGTTTAGATAATCGTCACTGGTGTTGGTGGCCTCTGAGCGGGCAACGACCTTGGGTCGCTGGGTTCGTAGCGCAGCGTGCTAACCGCTGCACCACCGCTCCCCATGCACAGACACGCACACGTCGCGCCAGATAGATGTACAAAGACAAAGATCCCCCGTGTAGCCTACAGAGACTGCTGGTGAGAGCAGCTATTTTAAGTCGGGGCCAATACCACATACCACACCGGCCGCCTTTGCCTCCCCTTCAATTGGTACCCGTTTAAGACTGAATCGACTTAGGGGAGACCCAGAATCGGGTCTGATATCACTCGTCACGGATGTTGCCCATGGCTAGGAATCAAACTCAGGTGGCCAAGTTTGTAGCGCTCACGACTAAGCGACCATTCCCCACTCTCGCAACACACACACACACACTTCCAAGTAGGCATACTCACACAGTATAAGATTCATGTGTGAAAAAGAGCTTCGTTGCTCATCGGATTCCTCCAGTAAAAATAAATATTCAGATTCTCATATTCTGATTCTGACCCGCGCGCACACACACGCACGCTCCCTCTCACTTTCTCACTCGCTCTTC